TATACCGTGTAAAAAATAAAGCATTTATTACGTTTATCGATTCATTTTAAATGTTGAATAAATATTTTCATTCTTCCTATTCTTCCTAACAATTCTCTGAAACATATTCTTAAACACAGATGATAAAAAACTATTAAATTCAGATGTTACAACAAATTACTTTCTCTACTTATATCTCAACTATTTTTTTTCTATCAATTAGAATTTTGACAAGACTTTTTTTATTGCGATTGATATATTTTGTAAATACTGTTTATTGTTATAATACGACTTAAATCCTAATTAGTAATATTTGTGCAGTTTTCTCAAATGATAATAAATTGCTATTTCTTAAAAAACTTTTTTTTAACCGACCCTTGTAAGTTTTCGGAAGTCCAGCTGATCTTTGGCTAAAAAAGTGATGATCATTAGCTCCACCCACTTTGACGTTCTCCAGGTGCATGCGGGTGAAACGTACGCAACTGATAGCGGCCTATGATGACGTTCATTGTTTCGTTTGCTTGTTTTTCAACAATAACGATTATCGCCTTTACACCGGGGAAACTTTCGAAGTCTTTCCTTAGCCCATTCCAAAAAGACAACTCGCGAGTGTTGGAAGTTAAAAAAATGTTCTAAAATGACTTCTGCTTTCGGAAACTCGATATCTTTCACAACCCCTTGCGTTTATCCAAAAATGTGTGGACAGAAGAACGATTGGACGTCCAACATCCGGTCTGACCACGATCCTTGGGGATATTTGGGATGCCAGCAGGATTATTCCTCTCTGTGTGTAGTCAATAACGAAGAAATGAAGAGCTACGTGCGTCCCCTGAGAAACTATAACGAAGGATTGACGTTGCAGATGCGGAAATTTGATGAACATGTGACGACTGTGAATGTGAATACGGAGGGATCAGTAAATGGATTGAAAAATATGAATGAGGACTTTTATGATGAAGGGAATAAAGAAAAAGGGAAGAATAACAACGCCTACAAGCACATTCCACATAAGAACAAACCACCACAAGTGGTCGCAAAACGCAATGCGAGAGAAAGAAGAAGAGTTCAAGCGGTAAACAAGGCGTTTCTTAAATTAAGACAGGCAGTTCCTATAGAAAATAAAAGGTATGTACGTTTCGCTTCTCTTTCTTGTTTTATTTAGCGATTGTCGTCAACTTTATCGAAGTACTTTTAGAAGAAAAAAGAATTACCTAATGTCCAACGTGTAACTGTAGCTATTGATAAAATTTGAGAGAAATAATTATGGACAAAAATGAATAATTTTTGTCAACATTCCATTAAAGTACTATTTGTGCAAAAAATATTACATTATTAGGTTTTACCCGCGGTTTCGCTCGCGTTGTTGCCCTAAATACATGTCAATGATCATCGACGACCACGTAAAACTAATTTTTCTATATTTAGACAACAGTATTTTTTTTGGGTAAAAGATACTCCATGTCCTTTTTTGTACTCTTGACAATGTGTGTACAAAATTTCACGATATTTTACTAGCAGCTTGGCTCACATTGATGTCCTAAATACGTGTCAAAAAAAAAATCGGCGACCACACAAAACTAATTTTTATATCCCTCAAGCCTGAAATGGTTGCAAACAAACTTACATTCGCATTTATAATATTAGTTAGAATGTATAAATTTTTCCAAATATACACAGAGTTAACTCTTCATACAAGTTTCATATAAAAAAATTATATCCACCACTTTCGCTAGATTCGTCTTCTTTCTCTATTCTACTGTTCTTTTAAGGGTCCTTTTCTTCTTCTTCCATCATTTGACTTATTAATTTTTTTGGGTATCTTCCTTTCTTCCACAGTCAAAGCTTCTTTATTTTGTTTTTTTAAGTACTCGTATTCCTTACTCTATATACACCTTCTACTTCACTTCCCAGACTTCCAAAAATTGTTACTGCGACCTTTAATTTTTCATTTATTCCAAAAATTATAGAATTCATCTGTTTGCCTCATTTGTTTTTTCTTTCCAATTTCTTCTCTATTATTTTTATTGTACTATTCTGCCCAGTACCTTCCCCATTTCATCATCTATTTTTATAATTTTCTTTATTTTATCTTTCTTCAAATTCTTAACTTCAATTTTTGTCTTTTTCATTTCCAAACATTCTTTGCAATCAATGCATTCTTTCTTTATTATCTTTGATATTTACTCATCCAAACTTACTTTTCTTTCTTATTTCTCATTTAATATTTTATTTATAACATTCTTGACCAGCTCCACTACATTAATATCTTTTATTTCTACTTCTATTCTTTCCACTCGTTATAAACGTCTCGCTATTAATTCTTTTTCTATTTGGTAATATTTTCAGTTATAAAGGCATTATTAAGTAGTATCCTCCATTACTAGAGTCCTGTTGGATGATATTTTAAATAATTTTAGACAAAAACGACAAAATATGGTTTACACCACAGTATGACATTGCCTGATATGTATCTACCTATGTAATGTAATGATTAAACCAATTTTCTTTAAAATTATGAATAAGTTTCAACGATTGCAATTTTAATTATCAGAAAACACCAGTAGGTGAATAAGTATAAGTAATTTGATCTCCATCATGATGACTTACATTTTATATTTTATACCTATCATTAAAAAACAGTTAAATAAGGGATTAAGATGTTAAAGTTGAAAGTGAGTGAAAAATATTATAACTTTCACTTGGAGAAGTTATCGTATGACAGAGCAATTATAAAAATAAATAATATTATTATATTGTTCACTTGGTCCTCCATTATTAATAAAATATTTTATGACATAGGTAAATAGTAACTGGTGTCTAATTGTTTATGAAGTAATTTACCTAAAACGTTTCGATAAAGAAGAAGAAATCGCACTAGTGCGAATTTGTTTTCGAGGTGATCCATTTGAGATTGTTGAAGAAGTGAACTGAGGAGATGAAAACTTTTTCTTCATATTTAAACATATGGGACTTTACTCTGACAAATTCGAGTAGGCTAGAGTAGCATTCATTTTGATATAATTTCAATATTTCTCAGTAAAAAAAAATGTTTTGACTTTTAATCTGTCAAGAAGTAGATATAATAACCAAACCAATAATGAAAAAATTTGACTACCCTGGCGGAAAAATTAATCATGCGATCGAAAAACGTTCTATTGGAACGTTACTCAGGGTCATCTCGAAGGACAAATATGCGCATTACAGTGATTTTTATTTTTCCCTTCTTCGCCAAAGTTTCCAGTTTCGGACACGCACCTCTACTCTTTCCTATCTTGAGGCAATCTTTGCATTACCCTAAAACTTGAACAATCCACGTCCTTAACAATTTGCGAACAATAATATAATCTAGTTCTACCTCTATCCCACCTAACTCCCGTTTCTGCCTCTAATATGTCTCTGACTAGACCTTCATGCCTGAGAAGGTGTCCTACCAACCTATCCCGCCTATTCCTTATTGACTTCCATAGAGTCCTCTGTTCTCCTATTCTTTCTAATACCTCTTCATTTCTAACCTTCTCTATCTACGGTATCTTCATCATTAGCCTGTAACACCACATTTCGAACGCTTCTAACCTTTTCTTTTCCGCCGCGCCCATTGTCCATGTTATTCGGAAAATACAACGATGAAGAGTTTCTCGAAAATACACTTACATATTTCTTTATTTAAAGGTTATTTTAGGTTTTGCTTTTTTTATTTAGAAATATTGTGTATGTTTACTTTTTGATCGACATAGAGGATTGTAGGTAACTATCCTTTAAAAATAAAAAGAGGAAAATGCATTTGCTTTATTAAAAAACAATACCAATAACATTCATCCGGATTTATGTCTTTCGATGTACTCGTAGTCCTTTATTAAGAATATTAACCTAACTCAGATTGTTATAAAGGCAAAAGTTAAACAACAATAACTCAATAAAAATGCCACTTTTCTTTTACGAAAACTAATATTCTTAGCATTTCACTGTTTCTTCCAATTGTAAGTCCTTTTGCTGATGACTTTTATTATTGAATATGAGTTATAAAAGACAACCGCCTTTCACTTAGCGTCAATCAATTATGGATATATTTAGCTTATACCTACATAATTACATTTAAATAACAAACATAATAGTAATCAATTTTGTTTGATATTTTCATGTAGGTGCGTAATTCGTAATCGTAATTAGCGCTATTATTAAATTTTGCTATTTGTTTTCATTCAAATTTAAATAACCAGTAAAGGTCTATTAACGTCAAAGACAATAGTTTTTTAAAACATGCTGTTTATCTTTCTAATACTGAATGAATGTATGAATGAGATTATCAATCGATCAAAACAACTGCTGTTCCTTATTGTTTGCCTCAAGGTGTGTAGGTCATAATACAATATTAAAGTAGAGCAGGTGGTCCAAATTTCTTTAATGAAATTGCTCTAATTCGTTTTGGATGTTTAAGTAACAAGTAGACAAGTAAAATCGTAAATAGAAAAGGTACACGAACTGCTTTTGAATAATAATTCATTCATTTATTATTCTCGCTTTAGTTGATTTCGTTTGATTATGAAAAACGAACGTAACAAGTTTGTTTAATTATTATAAATTCTGTAGAATATACAGGGATCGCACCAAAAGTGACACAAAATGGTTTATGATCTGCATGTGATTTTTTGTTGATTTCATAAAAGGTGCTGTTGGTATCGATCGCACGCGGCATTCATTAAAATGATAAAAATAAAGTAGTATTAGCAGTAAGGACGATGATGAATAAAATTAATCCTGTTATTACGAGATGAAACCTAATATCATGTTCATGTAGCTCACAAAAAAAGGTATTTTATATATAAGAATTATTGATGTCAAGGAGCATATTTGAAATGAAAACCACAATTCTTACCAGCGATGTTTTAATATCATATACTTGTAAACGCAAGAAGTAAGATTCTGTTATAATTAAATTTAATTCATTTCTGTTTTAGGGGAAAACGTATTAGTAAAGTAAAAACTCTTCACTACGCCATAGAATATATTCAAATTTTGCAGAAAATTTTAGAAGCCGATGACAATAGAAGATGTATTATAACGGTAAGACTAAATTAATTATTTTTGTTACTTAAATAATGAAGTTAGATTCTAATTAAAATTGTAGTATTGAAGGAAAAATGAAAGTGCTCTATATCTTAGCACAACTACAATAAAAATTTCGGTTGCGTACAGTGTACTAAAAAGCAGAAAAGTCATGTACACTAAAAGGGTATTGGAAAAAATAAATATTACTATAAAATTTACTTATTATACAGGGTGTGTCAAATCTTTCGGGATGGACACTAAGGAAATTTTTCGCAATGAAGTTATGACTTTTAGGCTACTTTTGATGACTTTTGAATTGAAGTAAATAAACTGATTTATATGGTTGTATTTAAATTGTCTGCAATCAAATATGAAAGTTTCAAAGAGTCTCCATGTTTCCAGTTTCAAACTAATCGTAAACTTGATCATAAAATAACTTTGAATTTTTTAATCAATGTCAAGTCCATCACAAAAAGATATAATCAAAACTAAAATCATTAATAACAACTAGGGAATATAGAGCGTATTCAGATGTACCGGGCAACTTAAAATTCTCTTGCGAATATACAAGTACATAGGCAGTATATCGCCATTTAGTGCAAGGATATTTACTGCTAATGATGTATTTCATGTATTAGACAAGACCTTATTGAGGTATAAACTTGTCTAACTGAATCGGCGATGCACGATATGCACACAAACCATTTTAACAGGAACGTTATTTTAACTTCTTTATTAGAAACTTATCAAAATTAACATACACGAATTGCGATCTTAATCTCATCAGATCTCATCAGCGCGCCAATCTCAATAAATCACTGACTAAACTGATGCCGCTTATCACTGTAGATAGAGGGGGTTTCTTCATAAATCCCTCATGACGATTCCCACAGAAGAAATTATCTATTATGCTTTACGAGTTTATTATAACCTTACAAAATAGTGGTTAATAAATTTAAATTTTCTGGTGTTTCATTCCCACCAGCTACTAATGCTGATGGATGGGCAGTTCTTCCGGACTACGCCAAAGGTAGGGAAATGCCTTATTTTAGGAATCGTGAGTAGGGGTGAGAAATATGAAACTGTGGAACGTTATTACTGCTTCAGCATTGATCTAAGTGATCCAAGGAAAAAAACTTGGGCTATGGCAAACAGAGTCGGACTTGAACCAGTGTCCTCCCGAATACTAAACAATACTCTAATTCTACTAGCCTTTTGAGGGTTCGACTTTTATCATTACCATCATCATCATAAGGTCATAAGTCCTAAGACCGGTTAGACAAGCACCTCTTTCCTGAACTAATCTTCGCATTTTCCTATCCACGATTTACTCACTATTCGCCTGTACCACCTCATTTCGAAGTTTCTAATCTTTTCCTTTCCGTCGTACCCACCGTCCATGTTTCGCACCCGTACAGCATCGCCCTCCAGACATACATCTTTAATAATCTTTTTCGAATTTCTAAATTCACCGTTCGCGAGCATAGAAAAGATTTACTTTTGTTAAAGGCGATTCGACTCTGAATACTCGAAGAAGTAGGTATCTTTTTTATAGAAATAGACACACCAACATAGTTTTAAATGTCATATCATCCCCAAAAATTACTTACAAACAAAAGTCCAACCTATAAAGTTTAATAATGAATGTGAAACCATAAACCCTATGACCTACATTGGTTGGCCTTTCCCTCTATAGTAGCATAAATTTAAATTAAACAAGTTTGCAGAATCACATACCAGTTGCTTAAACGTATAATGTAAAATAAATCAGCAATAGTATAAAATTATACCGCATTTCTATAATATCTTATGCAAATTAAACCGTCAAATTTTATTAACAGTAAATAAAACATAACCAGGAAATGTAGTTACTGAGTTAAATTATATTTGAATTGAAGGTTAGAAGTATTAAGATATTACGTTACTGATACCGGCAATATCCTCTTTCAATTCACTGAAGAAAAGGTCAAAAATCATAAATAATCTGCCATTTATGGTAATTTATAACTTGTGAAATACATTTGAGATATAGGTAATCCCTTCATCTTTTTTGCTTAAAAAAATTAAGAAAGCCTCTTTTATTCGGTACCTATAGAGATGTAATTTATTTGAAATACTTGCAATTAAAATGCAAATACAAAATAAAAAATACCCACTTTTATCTTACATTTAAATAGTTTTTTGAGAAAAGCATTTTGTATTTTATTTAAAATAATTTTCCAAGCGTATTTTCTATTTGTAAAATGCAAAATACATTTTTGCCGTTAAAAGTTTTGCTAGTATCACCGATCAAACATTAAAGAAAATGACGAATAAAAGTTGTTCACATTGGCCATTGAAGGTATTAGAGGCTTAAAAAGGGGATAAAGAGACATTCCATGAATGCATTCTAATTCTTTAACTGAAGAGAGCCCAAAAAATTCTTAACTCCTTGGAAATAGATCATCTAAAATATTGGATCGATATTGTTTTCCGGGTTCAATGTAATGGTCCACGGAATTTTGGAATTTCCAAATTAATATCAGCATCTGCCAAAATACGACAAAACAATATTGAATATATCGAAATATACGCCAGCTGTGCAAAACTGAAAACTGCAAGATATTGTGGTGTATTAAGAAATACCTATAATCCAAAATTCATAGAAAACGATTCGAAAAATTTCATTCAGATGAACCCAAAGCTAAAGAAACTATGAATTCCATTTCTTTCTCTTATTACAATGAATAAAAAATTGGTAACAAAATGGGGTTGTAAATATTTTGATATAAAATGATTGATGTTGATTTTACATCAATAAAATTATTTGCAATCCTATTTTGGTTCTGATCTTTCACGGTAAACAAACTATTTTGACGTCAGTGTCTTTTTTTTCAATTAAAACGGGTGACAAAGGTAAATAAGGAAGCATATAGAAGAATTATTTGTGAACTGATGAAACTATAAAATAAAGAAAGAAAAATATCTTAATCACTTCAAACAGAAAATATGAATCATACTCAATCATCAGCTGGTGATATAATGTAAACACCACTATTAGTCTTGAATATGCGATATTTGAAAAATGAGAAAATGCCTGCAAGGTTTTCTTAAAAAACAATTTGCTGATAAAGGATATCCACTTATCACACTGAACCCATAAAGGCATAGAGTAACAGTCTGCATGATATGTTATACCCATGCCTATGAGAAGATTTCGTTGATCAGTGATCTATCTATCGAAATTGTCGCTACTTCAAAATTAGCTTTATCAAATGTCCAAATTAAACAACATGAGAATCAACATCAATTCAAATCGGTTATCGTCGAGTATTGTTTTTATTCCATCGTGTTGAAAGTACCCCAGTATTTTATCCCATAATCATTAATTATGTTTCATCACCTCTAGTTAGGATGTTCAAAATTGGCATCATCATAAGGTCGTCAGTCCTAAGAGTGGTTGGACACGTACCTCCACTCTTTCCTATCCTGAGCTAAACTTCGCATTTCCCTAAAACTAGAACAGCCCACATCCTTAACTATTTGCGAACAGTAATCTAATCTAGGTCTACCTCTACCCCTCCTAACT